GCAAAATCCCCGCCTAACTGCCCAACCGCCTAACGATTGAACCAAGATATTGCAACTGGTCTCTTAGGCACTGGGTGGGAATCAATCCTAATTTCCACCTCTAATTCTATCACTCGACCACGGAAGCAATATTCCATATTTCCATTACTTAGCTTAATCCTACAGAGAGGTGTTGGGTGTAAGTTGTGGTTCTGGGAGCATAGTTAGTAAGGCGTCGCCTAGGCGATAAGGCGTTATGTTTTGCTTGCCTTGGTTGCTCGCCTCGCCTAGAAAACCCTAAGGCGGTCAGGCACTCGCCTAGGCGTCGCCTTACCTCGCCTTATGTCGCCTTTCTCGCCTTGACGCCTTGGGTCACTTCAAATTTATGAAAAGCCCAATTTTTTTTAGTGCAGCCCATCCTTTTAGTGTAGCCCATTTTCTTTTGGTACAGCCCAAGTATTTTGCAAGTCTATTTTAAAGAGTTTAAGAAGATTTAACTTAAATTATCTCTAGGCTCGATCAAGAGCCTCTTCCCATTCCAGATCTGCCGACTCACTTTCTTCTAAATGTTTGTGAACCCTTCTTTCTTTTTCAGATTATGTGTGGACTTTTGTTTCATATGTTGTGCCTTATTATTTATAATATTGTGGTATGTTGTGCCATATATGTGTGTGTGTGTGTCTATATATATATATATATATATATATATATATATATATATATATATATATATATATAGGTCGCCTAGGCGTCCGCCTAGTCGCCTAGGCAGTATGAATGTATATTGGCGCCTCGCCTCGCCTTACCGCCTTACAAACTATGTCTGGGAGTAGGCATAAAGGTGCCTAATGGTGGAGTGATATGGTTTGAAGTTAGGTGGAAGCCAATTAGGTGGCGTATCAGAGGTACATGGATTGCTGTGATGAGGAGGATAGAGCGGCTCTGCAATGGAATGTAAAATTGCTCGTAAGGAAGCTAAGCTAGAAGTTACGAGGGCGAAGAATGCAGTTTTTGAACGCGTTTATAAGGACATAGAAGACCAGGGCAGTGATAAGAAACCTTTCCGGCTAGCTAAGATGTGTGAAGAGCAACGATGGTAGAGTGCTAGTTGAGACTGCAGAGGTGGCAAAGCATTGGGGGAGTACTTTTGTGGCCTCTTAAATGCTGGAAGAGACAAGAGGCTAGAACTAGTGAGTTGGGGCAATCTGAGGCGCTTCGATAGTTTGGCTATAGTCGGCGCATTAGTAAGGAGGAGGTTGCTCGGGATTTGCGAGAGATGCGTAGTGGGAGAGCTTTAGGGCCGGATGAGATTCTGGTGGAGTTTTGGAAATAGGCAGATCGTGGCAGGTTGGTATGGTAAACCAAACTCTTCAATGTTATCTTCCAGACGGCTTGGATGTCGGACGAGTGGAGGGAGAGCGTGTTGGTCCCTTCGTACAAAGGTAAGGGCGACATCAGTGTTGCGAGAATTATAGATGCATCAAACTACATAGCCACACCATGAAGGTTTGGAAGAGAGTCATCGAGTATAGGCTGTGGAGGGGTGTGCCTGGTAGATCAACCACTCAACCACAGAGGTCATTCACCTCATGGGTAGGTTGATGGAAGAGTATAGGGAGGTGCGAGCATATATGCAAAAAAACTTCACAAAAGCCTTCGATAACGTTTGAAGATGTTGTTCCTAACAATGAAACCCTTGAAAAAGCTTCAACACAGCTACAACCACCATCGTCTACAAATTCCACTTCTCATCCAAGTTCTGGGACAGCTTCAAAAAGGAAACATGCTATTTCTAGATTTTTTGAATCACAGGAAAAGGGACCAAAACAAACCAAATCGGTTGCTACTATGTTGAGGCCGGAGCAAGAAAGAAAGAGAATGGGTATTAATGCATATTGCTGATTTCTTTTTTGAGAATATCTCTTTCAATGCGGCTAATTCAAGGAGTTAAGAAGTTATGGTCGAGTCCATAGGCCAATATGGACCAGGCCTTAAACTGCCAAGTTTTCATGAGTTGCATGTTTCCCTTCTTGAGATGGCAAAAAATGAGACGAAAAAACTTAAAGAAAAGCATGAAATTTCCTTGAACGAGCATGAGTGTACACTAATGTCAGATAGATGGACAGATACAAAAAATCGTCATTTGATAAATTTTCTTGTGGACAGTCCAGAGGGCACTTTTTACTTGGAGGGTGTTGATGCTTCAAGTGAATCCCAAGACGCTAGTTTGCTAGCCGGTTTATTGGAGAAGAAGATTGAAGAAATTGGTAAGGATAGGGTTGTTCAAGTTGTGACGGATAATGGCTCTAATTATAAGGCGGTCGGCAAAGTGCTACAGGAGAGAATACCCACATTATTTTGGACTCTTTAGCAGTGCACTGTATTGATCTTTTGTTGGAAGATATAGGCAAGCTTTCCAACTTCAAGTCTACAACTAGAGGAGCATGCAATGCGGGAAAGACAAATGGTAGAGACCTTGTGAGACCTGGAGTCACTACATTTGCAATTGCTTTTCTCACTTTGCAATGTCTTCATAAATTTAAAGATGCGTTGAAAAAGTTATTTGCTTGTGAAGATTGGAGTCGATCTAGACTATCAGCCACAGAGGCATGGAAAAGAGTAAGTGACATTATTTCTTCTTCTAGTTTTTGGTTGACGGTGGAGGATTGTTTGCGAGCAACACACCCACTTTTGTTGGTATAGAGGATTGTTGATGCTGATGAAAAGCCCGCTATGCAATAACTTTTGTTGGCTATGGGTCTAGCTAAAAGCAAAATCACACATGCTTCACAAGCTAAGCCAACAAAATTGAGAAAAGTCATGGAGATCATTGAGAATATGTGGGCAGACCAAATGGGAGTCAAATAATATTTGGTGTCTTTATTTTTAAATCCGTCCAAATAATTTGATCTTAAGAAAAAAGATGCAATTGTGGCTTCTCGTCATAGAATGATATTCAATGATGTGCTGGAGAAGATGATCCCTTTACAAGGAAACATAATGGATACGGTGACCTAATATGACAAATTATGAGGTAGTTTTGCAAAACAACTTGCAATTAACCAACAAAAGACAAAAGGTCCAAGTAAGTGCATCAAAAAATTCCAATGTAGTATACTAATATTATAACACTAAGTGCTTTTTTCATGGGTTGTATTTGATTGGTGGAATGCATTTGGTGGCTTTACTATAGAGCTCCAAACTCTTGCGAAGCGTATCATTGGACTATGTTGCACTTCCTCTAGATGTGAACGTAATTAGAGCACATTTGAACATGTAAGTAAAGCAATGTTGATAGTCTAGTAAAACCTTAAAGTTTAAACATACAAATTAACTAGCAATGATTTTTTTTATTTTAATTAGATCCACAGTAAGAAAAGAAATTGATTGGAGCATAAGAGGTTGAATGACTTGGTATTCATCAAGTATAATCGTAGGATTGCAAAAAGATTTCAAAAGCGCCGAGAACAGGGAACTGATTTTAACCCTTTGATTTATGAGGATTTTCAGTGGGATACAAATGGGTTAATAATGAAGTTGTTCATCCAGGCCAAGATCTTCTTTGGACTACAGTTGATGAAGCTATGGGTGCTTCTGCCAATCTTGAAGGACGAAATGCCCCGAGGAGAGGTTGTACTAATGAAGATATTCAAGGTGCAAGTTCTAATGTAGCAACTCATCAACGCCAAAGAAGGTCTACTTCCGGCATTGACTGCTCAAGAATCTCAAGATGGTGATGGTCATGGTGAGGTAGATGTGTTGCCGCATGATGATGAAGATGTGGAAGATGACTTTGGACAAGCACCACCTTCCCCTCATCAGTGTCCAAAATGCAAGCAATGACGTTTTTTATTCCACCTTTCTTAAAGATTTTTGAGACTTTGTTGTCAAGCAATGACTTTTTCAATTCTACTTTTGTTGAGGGTTTTTGAAATTTAAACTTTATCTACAACATATAATGTGATATATGCATATTAGTGTTACTAATGTATAGCAACTAGCATTTACTACTAGTCTCCTTATAGTCACTTAGTCGGTCGCCTAGGCGTCATTACGGTACACTAGCGCCGCGACTCGCCTTGGCGACGTGATAACTATGGCGTACACACCCTCTCCAGACCCTACTTTTGTGGGATCCAACTAGGTTGTTGTTGTTTAGTCCTACACAGTCTCAAACCTTTGGACTCTAGCGAATGTCGCCAAAGCTCTAACTTGTCATTAAGCCCCTCAAGGGTCTCGTCAATGAGCAGAATATCGTCAGCAAAGAGCATGCACCAAGGAATCTCTCCTTTTAAAATCTAGCAATCCCATATGGCCCTAGCTCAATATCTGGTAGTCACGTTCGATCCACAACCACAGCTCAAATTCTCGGCACTCATGTTAGGCCATACACGTATAACAAGCTCTCCCATTCGGTCCGGGCGTCCGGCTCAAATGTCCAGCAATCCAATCCAAGCTTCCCAAATATCTGGAAATCCGATGCGGCCTATCTCAAAGTTGAAGAAGTTCCATCTACAACAGCTCTTCTCCTTAATACATTAAATTTCCTAATTTTGTCAGGCCAATCTAGAATTCTTTTGCCACTTTAAGATCCTACACCAAGATCCCTAAGGGAGGTTAATTTAGAATTCCTTAGTCACAAAGAAGCTAGATGACAATCAACAGGAGAAAAATCTGCACTCACCTCCCCTTTAGTGACTCAAATCCATAAACTCCCACAACAGAAGACCCTTAGGTTATGTTTGCTTTCATAACTATGTTTTCTTGTTCATTACTCCAATATTTTCTTCTGGATCTTTTTTCTCTAGCTTCTGCGGGCCACTTCCATGGCAGGCGATGGCTTTAGCCACCACTAGCCTTAATCTCTTACTATTTTCACAAATAATCATCTGCTCTTATTCTATTAAAAGGAAGGTATCTCCCATGAACACATGTACAATTGGAAAGCATTTACAATAATCTGCAAGTAAAATATGAACTTTTAATACGACAAGTGAAACAGATTATTTGGCAATGTATACCTTAAGTTTGTTTAAGCTCGATGTTGCTGTGGACTCCGAATCGGACACTTCAGAGCAATTCCATAGTGCAAAACCATCATTTAAACTTCCACTAGATGACACTACATTTGAGGCTGTATAGCATTTCATTCTCTTTGTTCCAGTAGGTCCATCTTGTGGGAAGAAATTTCTTGCCTGCAACCGACATTTTGTCATGGCAACCAAATCTTCACCAACAGCTGCTCTTGAGCCATTTCCAGGTGCAGATCCAGCTATTCTATCCATCATACTGATAACAGAGCTGATATCACTAACAGAGGAATTCAATGCTTTGGCCGACACCTTTCTTACCTGAATATAATGGTAGGTTCTTATTTGTGATACCCACGAATATTATATATATATATATACACACACACATAATACACGCACACATAACTATATGGACGGAGATCTTTTGGCAGGAAGTGATTTGGGGGTCCTACAGTGCTCCTTTGGGTCCGGGGAAAGGTCCTACCCCCTAACCCACCCAACATCCTGCCCATATATGGTGGGGTTCTTTGGACACTGGTCTTTGATGTCATGTTAATATGACACCAAGTGATTTTTGGGGCGATAAGTTGCTCCCTTGGGCCATGGGCTAGGTCTCCAACCCCTATCCACCTACCCACCCACATCAGCCCCCTCTGCTGTTATCAATCCAAGTCAGCCACAGCCCTCCCACCCCCCCCCCTCCCCTGCACCTCTGACCCACTCCCTGGTCCTGGGTCCAATGGGGCACCTTAGGGTTCCTAATCATGCAATATGTCACCAAGGGCCAGTGTCAAACAAACCATGCCCAAAGGTAGGTTACCACAAGAATCAACAATAGAAAATGCCAGGTCAAAACAAACAGTTGGAATGTACTAACTGCATTAACCAAGCGCTCCAGAGGTTGTTCAATTGTTGACTTCCCAGAAATGGAAGTTGATACATTTGTATGTGTGCCATCTAAACTGTAAATTTCTGGAAGCAATGGTGATGTTGATATCCCTGGAGTGTCAATTGCTAGAGATTGAGCTGAGGCAGAAGTTGTTTGCTGAATCCCTACATTCCCAGGACCAAGAAGAGATGGAGCACCCAAGCTAACTTTTTCAGAGTCCCCTGGCATGGGTGATGGGGCCAAAGGAGTAGAAGGAGATTGGACAAAAGGTGAACTTGCAGATTGAAGAGGTGTTCCCGTTTTTGTATGAGACACCAATGCATTTTGCTGGTCGAATTGAGGAGAAAGATGTTGGGCAAGCTGTGGAGATGATGTCTGATGAACTTGAGGTGAAGATATACTTGTCTTGAGCTGTGGGTGATGCAATGCCACACGTGGTGGGCCAAGTGGCTGATGCTGCTGGAACACACCCGATTTGATACTTCCTATATGCTGCCTCGTCCTTATATCATTTGTATCAACCAATTGGTGAAGTTGAGACATCGAGTGCGCAGCTGATGGAGCCTGCCCTTGCTTGAATTGCTGCTGCTGTTGCAAAATCTGTTGCTGAATCTGCCGCTGCTGAAACTGTTGTCTGAGTTGTTGGTTCTGCAGCATTTGCTGTTCATGTTGCTTAGGATGCTGAAGCATATTAGAATTTTGCTGAAGGTTTGACTGCAGTGAATTTGGTCCGCCTTGTGATGAAAATGAGCTTATGTTCATTTGTTGGGGACCATTGATCTGATTTTGTTGTAGAGCACCACTAGAGACCTGCTGCAGTGGACCTAATGAACTACCATGCCCCATGTCTATGCTAGCTCCAGGCTGTATTGTAGATATCATACTTTGTTGTGAGTTTGGAACTGCAGATAGAGAAGACATGGGATTATGCTGCATGTTGTTCAAACTATTATGCTGCATGGTTGCCATTGTGCCTTGTAAATTTACAGATTGTGCCTGAAGATTAATTTGGCCATCAAAAGCTTGTGGTGGCTGAGGTTTCCGGGTACGGTTGGAGTTCAGAAAATATATTATTTGCCTCTCAATGTAACTCAGCTTTTCCTTGTGTTGTGGTTGAATGTCATTCTTGTTAAACCTCAGCATATGTAGAAGGCGTTCCACCATAACCTTAAACATCTTGAGCTTTTCAATTTGGTCATTTTTCGGATGCTGGGGAAGAGAGTCATGCTGCAAAAAGAGAAAGAAGTGTCTGAAAAAGTGATTGAAAAATTCAATTTTGGTTATAAGGGTAATAATTTTAATCCTCTATGTGTATGCAGATGTTGTTATATTTGGATCTACTCAAAAAGAAGGCAAATAAATTAACGAGCCTGAAAGAAAATATTTTAAAAGATGGTTTTTAATGTGCTCAAGTTATGGTACACAATACACTTATGTACACTTATTTACTTTGGAAATATGGCTTCTAAGAGCATGAGAGCACCCATTATTTCACACTAAATGGGGTTAGTCATGATGTCAGTATGATGACTTGGACTTAGAAGACTTAGGTCATTAAGTCACTGATATGTTTGCTGCCAATACTCTCCTCGTTTATGATCCAAGGTGGAAGAACTCCGACCTATGGTGACAAGAACAAAGCTCTCACACACGAGGAAATGAGAGAGCAGATTGGCTCCATGAAGGAAGAAAGAAATCTTTTAAATTTTTCATTCCATAGTAATTATAATCGATAATAATTGCCTTCTTATATAGAGGCTTACATTTCTAAATGCAAAAGGAAAGTAAAGAATAGAACTAGAAATAACTAGATGCTAAATAGAAGTACTGACAGATACTTGTAATTAATTGTAACTCTCACTCAAGCATTATAGAAGCATTTCAACTAGGTCTAGAAGTAAAAACATATACAATTATAAAAAATTAGAATATAAGATATGTTTATCTGACATGGTTGCATCACTGATCTCACCTGAGCCAATTTACCAGCAATCTTGTGGTACAATTCACTTAGATCCATAAAGTACATATCTTTCATGGACTTGATCTGCAAAATATAAAAGAGCAAACAAAAGCACATGACTTAGTTGCTGAGTTTACAAGTCCATACATAAGGGGATAGCTTTTGTAACACTGTAAATAAATAATCTTAGATCAAAGGTACAATAGAAATATTAGATGAAAAATGTAATGGAGACATGCAAGTGCTAAGATATTGAGCGTGCAAACCCAAAAAAATAGCAAGCATCCAATAGTTCTACGTTTTAGAAGTTACAACTTAAAAAGGTGCAACCCGATCTACTTAAATTGAAAATTGCAACAAATCGACATAAAGCAAAAACTGATTTCTCCATAAAATAGGCAGAAAGCAACAGACCAACCAAAATACCATGAAAAATGACATCTTAAATTTTAAGTTGGTCAATACTTGGGGCATGTTCCTTTTCAACATTTAACTCCAGTTAATGAGACTCCGAAATCCCAAAAACTACTGGATTACCACCTAAAACTACTTACTGGTCAATACGGGATTACCACGTAAAACTTCCCCAGTTAATGATACTTGGTCAATACTGGATCCGAAGATTCAAAACTATTTTACCAATTTACTCACATATATTCTTCTAAGAAACATTTGCGAAAATTCTCTTACGTCAAGTTTGAAGAAAACTATCATTTGAAAAACTATTACTCATCTGTTTTTCTCCCTGTTTGTCACACTATTTTTGCATCATACCATATTTAATCATCTTCAAGTGACTAAAACATATTTTCACATTTCTTATTTCAGTTTCAACAATAGAGTTTCAATTACCTAATTTTGTATCCCACCTTTCCATGTCTTTTATTTCGCAATTATGCTTTTCCTTTTCTATTTCAACTTCTTTTTGTGTCCTAACACACTCTATAAAAGCCCTTTTTCAATTTTTGCAAAGAAAGCAACAAGGCAAAAACAAGGCACAATTTTTACGGAACAATATTATTGCCATAGTCATTAAAAAAATGCTAGTACGTAGATCTCCAAAATAGATGCTTTTCAATACAAAAAGTATACATGGTCATAAAATAATACTCTCTATGACCCGAGTTTATGTTTTGAGTCACTAATAGTAAATTCAAATTAAATCTTTTTTCTTACATATTTTCATTGATCATCCAATAAAATTAAATAGTCAAGCCACCTCTTGTTTAGTAGAACTTTTGATATATTTTCAAATGTTTAATTTTTTTAATTCTACACCAATTTTCAATCAAATTAAATTGAAAACAACTTCAATTGAAAAATAGTAAAGCACAATGGTAACTTAAACCGAACTGGAGAGGGTATATTATAAGAAAGAAACTTATTTCTATCACAACTAGTTTATTATGATTATTATAATGTTATTGTAGTTAATGGAGAGTTTTTAAGTTGTGCCTGTTTTTAGGTTTCTTCTTTTTCCTTTTTTGCTAAAAAGGTTGGGAAATGACTCTAAAGACTAATTACAAAAAAGATTGTCGTGGGCTCCTTCGCCCCAGTGCGGAGATGTGATGGGCTTACGTTCGAGGGTGGGAAAAGGGGTAGGGGTATACCTAAGAAGTATCGGGAGGAGGTGATTAGACCAGACTAAGGACTTCTTGCCCTTACTGCTGACATGGCCTTATATACGACCATTTGGAAAGCTATGATAAGGGTAGTTGGGTAGACGCTTTGAGCTAGGTGTTGCCGTGTTGGTCTCTGCATTTGTGTCCTTTGTATGCTTTGTTTGCTTTGTTGTGTGCTTTGTATGCTTTGTGCTTTCTTGACTTTTATGTGTCTTCTGTGCTCTTAAATTATTTGTGCTACATGAACTAGGGTCTCTTGGAAACACCCTTCCTACATTCGAGTAGGGGCAAGGAACGCGTACACATACCCCCCCCCCAAACCCTACTCTCGTGGGATCATCCTGGATTGTTGTTGTTGTGTTGTCGTTGGCTCCTTCCCCACCGATTGTCGCCATCTCCTTTGCTGTTTCATTTTTCACTTTTTGTTTTGTTTACGGTTTTTTTGTACTTCATTCGTATTTTGTTTTATATTTAACTATTACTCCAAAATGCTTTTTCTTTTTTTGGAGGGTCTGTAAATCAGTTTTAACATTTGAACATTTTAGTCTTTCAAGTCTGATTTTTTAAGAGCGGTTTACAAATCAGTTTTTTGAAAAATCATTCTATGCAAAATATATACAGTAATAGAGTTGTCCATCGTATTCTTTATTCATCTCAAAACTGATGGAGGACAACGATATCAACGAGAACTACAATCCATCTAAGGATCCCACATGAAAGGCCAACTCCAACGGTCCCGACTAAAGCATAAGTTTTGGCCCGATTTGCCCAAAAAAGATGTAATTATATTTATTACAGAGTAATATATTTATAATTCGTTTGTGCTACCCTGAAGTTTATTTTGTTGGTGATATATAGTCATCGGCCCAAAGTGGCCCACTCTTGTAGACAACCGGAAATTAGGAGGCGGCCAGATTAAGGTTCCACCGGCCCTAATGGTTTTAAGCCCAATTTGCTATAGCTTGTTCTGCAAGGGTTAAACATGGAAGATGAAGAACGGGCTGACTTGGATAGAAAAGCCCTAGCTGTCATCAGGTGCACTTTGACAAAGAGTGTGGCCTTCAACATCGTGAAAGAGACTACTGCTCATGGGGTTATGACAACGTTATCAAACATGTATGAGAAACCTTCCACGTCTAATAAGGTATTTTTGATTAGACAGTTTGTTAATAGTCGTATGCGGGAAGTTGGTTCTGTTACTACTCACATTAATGTTTTCAATACCATTATATCCCATTTGCTATCAGTTGATATCATATTTGATGATGAGGTACAAGCTTTGCTTCTTTTAACTTCGTTACCAGATAGTTCGTCAGGATCAGTCACGACTATTAGTGGTTCAGCTGGAAACACCATACTCGCGCTTGAGGGAATCCGTGATTTTATCTTAGGAGAAGACATCAGGAGAAGAAAGAATACAGGTGAATCATCTAGTTCTCTGTTGAGCACTGAGGGAAGAGGTAGAAAAAAGAGAGGAGAAACAGTTGCAAGGGAAGATCTAAGTCCAAAGGCATGAGAGGGAGTTCAAAGACAAGAAGCGATATCCACTGTTGGAACTGTGATAAGAATGGGCACTTCACAAGTCACTGCCCCAAATTAGGGTTCGGCCGGCCCTAATGGTTTTAAGCCCAGTTTGCTATAATTTGTTCAGCAAGGGTTAAACCCTAATTAGTTGTCTATATATATGATCTCCTGTACTTGTAATCATTATCACTCAATAATACAAACAATAGTTGCCCCTGCGGATGTAGGTAAGATTAGACCGAACCACGTAAATCTCTTGTATTCTTTATTGCTTTCTTGTTTTTCTATTTGTGTGTGTGTGTGCCTCTATATCTAACATATTTTTGTTAAGCTAACGATACTCTATCTCTAAAATTGTGGGTATCTTTATTGATATATTTATATATATATTCTTTTAATGAATGTTTTAGGTATTATGAATTATGACTTGTCGATAATCCTCAACTAGTTCACTGACTTATCGACTCTTGAACGACTCAACTCGACTTGTAAAAGTGACAACCATGAAACTACCATGGATGTCTCTTATATGGAGGAAATAAATCCCACCTAAATATTCCTTCATATTTTGGTTGGTGTTTAGCAAGGATTGTCGACTTTTCCATGGAGTACCGGAGCAAGCAGATCACTTATTCTTTCCGTGTCCAGTGTCTTCTAAAGTTTGGTCTTATGTGCATTTGTGGCTTGACTTGAGGATATGTCGACTTTGGCTCGCACTGGGAGCCCCATACGGCGTGACCATGGAGGAGCAAGGATAAAGATTAAGGTTGTGTGCATGTGTGGCTAGCTTTTGAAGCCACGGTCTACACTCTTTGGAAATTTAAAAATCAAATATATGAGGCAAACTTCACTACAAATGCCATTTTTGTTAAGGTTAAAGTCCTAGTGTATAAAACCATGTTTAAGATTTTAAGCCTTGTCCCACTTCTTTGATGACATTTAGACGACAACCTACATGTTTTGGCGTTTTTTATGCTTCTGATATGTTTGGAATTTGAGGGATCAATATGTATGTAACCTTTTACCTGTGTTAAATATAAAGAGGTTGTTTCTGTTAAACCCTTTATGCGTTGATGCATTTAGAACACAAAACTTCATAGAAAGTAACAAGGAAAGTCTAATATGCCATATTGATTTACTCCATTATTTAACTGAACTACTGAAGCAAAACATTTTCAAAAATGGCTCTTTTAGCAATGGACAGATTCAATTTATGATCGTTTGATGTTAAGTGCAGGTAAAACAACAAATTCTAAACGTTCAACAACTACGATTCTCAGCAATCCCAAAGAAAAGTAGAAGACTAAGATTTTGGAAATGAAATATAGAACTACACTATAGGTGTTTTTAATCTACAAAATGTGACGCCAATCTCAATCAAAGGCATTAGGTGACTTTATCTACAAAATGTGATCTTAATCTCAAACAGCTGATAATCTAATCTCCAAAACAATAGATCTTTTTCAATCACTATAAGAAAAAGGTGAAATGCAAGACAAACACTCCCCCCCCCCCCACAGCCCACCTTCAACGGATACTACTTCAACCATTTCCGAGCACCTTATAGGATTTTTGGTTTTATTATATCTAAAAACACATTGTTCGTATGGTATTATTTATTCATGCATCTTGAGCCGTGCCTTCTAATGTGTTTCGAAGATCCAATTTTTACCTATTGGCATATGTAAAGATTTGGGTCAATTCATAAATGTAATCAAATTCTCAATTTTAAATTATTTTATATTATAAATACCTTTTAATCAATATTAATAAAAATTAATTTAATCAGTGACAACTATCCCGACTGCCCAATACCACTTATCTTCAGACCAACTACTAAAATAAAGTTATGAAGTCTAAATTTTGTTTTTATTAAATCAGCTAGAGACTTCTCGTGTTGTTCTTATTGCTATCATCAACTTAACATGCCAATTTTACAAATACTGCTCTATTTAAAGAAGCAGATCATTTTTAGTTAGAACTCCATGACATATCAAGTAAAGTGATGAAAGAATACAGTACCTTTTGGTAAGCCTCTTCCTGCCAATCACCAAAATTGGTATTTCCAGTTTGAGCTGTTGAATCTAAAGATGCTACATTAACAATTCAAAATGTTAGCATGAATGTAACCATTATTCCCAGGTAGAGGAAAATTATGAAATAACACCGCCGCATAAAAAAGCATCATTTATCACAACGGGATATAAAAATACAAACTTTGGTAACAAATTTATTTCTTTAAAATGGAAAAAAGAAACTACATTAAAAAAATGACTCGGAAAAAGTTCCCTGACACTTCAAGAAAATGTAATAGATATACAACAACAACAACAACCCAGTTGGATCCCACGAGTGTAGGGTCAGGGGAGAGTGTGAACGCAGACCTTGATCCAACCGAAAAATAGAGAGGTTTTTTCCAAGAGACTCCTGGCTTAGGTAGCACAGATAATACATGATCACAAAAGACACATAGAAATGTAATAGAAATAATGCCTAACAATATAAACCTTCCTTATTAGGAAAAAGAGCAACATATCTAAAACAAACTTTCATAACCCTTGGAAATTTTTAATTCACCGGGATAATTAATAATATATAATCGGATCTGGTATAACAGATAAAATAAATAATATGAACTCAAAGATGTTTGCGTTGAAACCAAATCGGAAAACCATGGGTCTTTCTTGGCGGTACCATACCAAGGGGGAGTATATTTCATATATTCGGGGTGTACATGTACAGAATAGGCTTGGTGGACATTGACAGAACTTGAAGCTCTACGAAGGAGATGAATATACAAAGAGTGTAACATGAAGAGGATTCGGATCATATCAGGGATTGAATCCCTTTCTTCATGGCATAGAGCCTCTTTTAAAGATGAATGGGAACCCTAGCATTAGGGTTTACACATGGGCTCATCTTGTGGGCTTCCTTTGTAGATTGGGCACAAGAACCTTGGGCCTAGAGGAGTATTACTCCATCAATACTATTGTATTAATTCATTTGCATTAATAAAAACGTAGATATGGCAACATGGAAAAGATTATTCATAACAAGTTGAATATATAAGCACGTATCAAACTCCAAATTCACTGGCACAAAGCTGGAAATTTTATTAGTAAAAAGAAATGCACACAGATGTGAACTTTTGAAACTGCTCAACATGGATGAAAACATACTAGAAGATGCATCTGGTGTAGCCCTTTGTGGTTGAAAAATTTGCTTCTGCTGATCACTCAGGTTCTGCTGTTGAAGTATAGGATTTGGATTTTGAAGCCTATGCTGCATTTCTCGTTGTAGAGTATTAGGCTGCTGCTGCTGCAAACCAAATGGTGGTTGCAATGGTCCAGGTTGTGATTGATTCTGTGGCATCATTTGTTGTTGTGACTGAGATTGAAGACCTTGAGCTGGCAAAAGTGTAGCACTTGGAAGCATCTGTTGTTGCACCTGGACCTTTGATTGTTGTGACATCTGGATAGCATGCTGATTAGTAGTCAATCCAGAGTTACTAGATTGATCTCCAGCTAGCTTCTGATGTGATAGCCCAGCAACATTCCCTTGAGTACCAATTTGCTGCTGATGTATGCTTGGAACATTTATTTGCTGATTAACTAACTGCTGCTGTTGAACACTAGAATAGCTATTCTGTTGGGTCGTTAGCCTAGTTTGCTGGTGCTGCATATCAGACATGTTTTGCTGGCCAATCGGCTGGTTCTGCTGGATATTCGCAATATTTTGTTGCTGTCCAATCAGATTTTGTTGTTGCTGTTGAGGTTGCTGCTGTTGACTTTGCAGCACTGATCCCTGTTGTTGATGTTGCCTGAGGACTGATTGTGAAAGTTGCTGGATCATGGATTGACTTTGCTGTTGAATGGAAGACTGTTGATTCTGCTGAAGGTTTGACAGAGTAGAATGTGCTGTAGAAGGCTGCAACGCTACTTGCTGAGAAGATTGGGACTGAGTTTGTTGCTGGAAAGATTGGACCTGTTGTTGTATATTTGGCTGTTTCTGCTGCTCCTGTGGATGCTGCACTTGAGATTGGAACTTTGGTTTCAACACTGGGCGGTGTAGCTGCTGCTGATAAATATGTGTATTAGGGGTCTGAGATTGTTGTTGCTGTTGTTGGGAAACAACCTGCTGCTGTCTTTCTTGAATCTGTCTAATAGAATTCACAATCATATTTGAATGCCCTAACGTGTTTCCAACTGAATTTTGAGTAGCAATGGGAATGCCTTGTGCATTTTGCAAATTGGAATTTTGGCTTGCTGCATTTGGAATGTTAATCTGAGTGGAATTCCCTGCGCTAGGAAGTGCAGACACCAGATTCACAGAGTTCTGCATTCCAGCGGACGTGATAGTGTTATGAATATTTTGGGATAGTAGTTGCTGCCGGGCTTGCGATTGATTGCTCACCATTGGTACAGAAAGCGGCTGAGCTTGGTTATTAACTTGGAGCTGCATTGCATGTGAACCTAGAGAAATTTATCATGTGAAATGACAAAAGATAGAGTCAAGGCTACATACACAGCAAATTTAATAACAAAAAAAATGGTATGCCCCCATAAACAAAGGAACCCTACTTTAGTACACGAAAAGGTATGAAATTACTGTTCTTAGTGTGAAAGTAAGTCTCAAAAGTATTGCTTTTTACATTTCAGATCTGTACAAAAGCCTTATCTAGATGAAAAATACAATGATGTCGTCATGGCATAAACAATGATCAAACCATGACGTAATGTTGCTATAAAATGCCATTTGGTAATATAAAAGCTAAAACCTAGTATATTTTCCACACAGCCTCAAGCTGAGCATACAAATCATATGCTCCAAGTTTGTTACAAATACGGAGTATGTTTTGCATTGTAGGACCTCGAAGAGCAGAAGTCAGAAAGTTGATTATCTGTGCACATAGTTAGTGACGATGTTAGATTGTGATCTTTGTCGAACTAAATGACAATTAACCTGGATTGCTTAGGTTTGGCATTAGCTTTGGCGTTCAGCTTCAAGGATTTGAAAATGCAATCCAATGGTAGTTTTTAGCATTGGCGTTTAATCTGCACCATTAAAAAATTATCCAGAACGCTAACACTCATCACAAACATTGTTCCCAAACAAAACTCTAGTCCATTTGTGGTATACAAGGTATGATGTGGGTCTAGTGGTCTACAATCCAACATACATGTTCCTCAAGAATATTACAAGCATATTTCCTCTAGGAGAGATTAAAACATTTTTTGCGTGTAAACTCGGAGCGCGAAGTTAATTTTTTGCGTGTAAACATTTTTTGCGTGTAAACCCAAGGACAAAAACGGAAAGTCAAAACATTTTTTACTTTTCCTTAATTTGCGTGTAAACTCGGAGCGCGAAGTTAATTTTTGTACAGAGTGAGTACATTGCGTTTTTTTGAAGCGTTCCTTGAAATTTGCTAAACCAAATCTTTAATTATAAATACTTTTTGGAAAAAACCTCCCTACTTTCGAGTAAGGGCAAGGTCTGCGTACACACACCCTCTCCATGGCCTACTTTTGTGGGATCCAACTGGGTCTTTGTTGTTGTTGTGCCTTTTGAGCCATTTAATGCTCTCTAGTTCACTTCCATGACACTTTCATCAAATTACAATACCAGATAGTTATATTTGTTACATATATAATCTCGATAAAATACAGTAAGGTCAATATTACTCCTAATCATTCTACAACCACGAACAACTTTACTAAACCGCTCAAACCATGCATGCAGAGATAACTTCAAGCCTTATAGGAGCATCATAGTACGGTGTTTCAATACTAGATTGCTGTGGAGAAAAGCAATTTTTATATTAAACTCAAACAAAGGGTAGTGACTAGTGGCAGCAATGGATAAAATCATAATTACTCCTAGCAAAAAGATAAAATATGTCTAGCATAATCAAGGTCATAGTTCATAAACTGAGTGTGCCCGTTTGCAACTAAACATGCTTTATCAATTTATCATCAACGCCAACTGTCACGGTATATATCCACGGATAGCCAACAATAGGCTTACTATGATGAAGAGGAACAAATTCTCATTTCCCACAAAAATGAAGAGCATTCACTTCAACAAATATAGCATGCTGCTATTCCACATTGGAAAGTGCCTCACTGGTGTGCAAATATGCAATATAGGTTTTAAAAAGGGAGTGGAAACATGATGATAGCTAAGAAAATTATGTATGAGGCGAGGGTTGAGAGTGGAATGTATACATGTTTGTATTGTGATAGATAAATCAAAACGGGCAGGCTCACAATCAAGGGTAGCCAATTGTTGCGAGCATCCATAGAACGGGAATCAATAGTGCAATATCAAGAATCTAAATAGGGATACGAAAAGGACAATGATGGTAGACCTGTAAAGATAGGGAAAATGTCAAAGGAACATAAATGGAAGATTTGCCAAGTCCAAAGGAAGCACTCATTCAAAGAAAAGAGGCGGAATGGTGGTTGGCCAAAGATAAGGAAAGAAGCTAGAAAAGCAGATGTAATCAATGAGGTGTAGTAAAAAAAGATAAATTCATAAAGGTTGTGAAACTCCATGCGACCTGCCGAGGTAGCCGACACCACAAGTTTATAACTAGGTCCTGAGATTCCCAAATCGAGTACACCTTTATTTTTCCTCTGTGCACTTGATCAAAAGATCACGAAAGGGATGATTTTCCTAAGTAAATATGGTAAATTTTATTTGCCTTAACTAGTCTAGAAATCTCACAAGTTTTTCTTACACTCAGTATGTTATATCCACCTTAAGAAATGTCTCACAATGAGAAATGAGCCACTCTATAAGCTAAGCTTAAACAAAATCAAAAAAATGAATCCAAATTTATAAATAACCCATCCAGAGTCTCAAATTCTAATAATTAAAATAATCTAAAATAACTTTTTTTCTAATATAATTAACCTCCAACAGCAACACCAATACAATGCAACACAAATTAAAAATATCATTAAAATTTATTAGCTTAATTTGTATCCATAATCACCAAATGACGGCTAAGCTCAGTATGTTGAGGAAGCTTCCTTCAAATCTCATTTGATAAATCTAATCAAGTTTGAAGATATTTCATGTTACCAAGGTTGTTAAACTCCAGATCCTAACTAAGATTGAAGAAGGGGAGAAAGATCATAAATTGAGGGTCGTAACTTGAATTCTAATATCCTGGAGTGGTAGTTAATATTTAGAATATAAAAAATGAACACACACAGATATATATATATATACACACACACACACACATATACACATGTAACAAACTTAATTTAAAATAAACAGTCATCTAATAATCATTAGCCAAAGCATAAAATTTAGTAGTCATAAATTCATAATCATAAAATTGAAATTTGACCAAGACATTTATAAACAAAATCGAGAAGGTTTTAAAGTGAGAAGTACTTAATAAAAGAAATGGAAGGCTGCTGATAGCGTATTTAAATTTAAAAAAAGGCTGAAAGGATATAGACCCAGAAATGCCTTAACTATTTACGCTGTATACCTGACTAAATGCCACGACTCATACAAGTAGATGCGAAGAAGGCGAAAGGTTAAAATAGCAGGGAGGGGGGATTGAAATACTTCTACGCGTAAAGATTTGGGCATACGATTTCAATTTTTAAGGTTTGAAAGACTTTCCCTCTATCTTAAGCACATCTTTCAAATTCAATTTCAATAAAAAAAATCACCACCGAGGTCTGACGACCTAATACGCAAAATATGTTCAAAGATGGGATCCAGCTTCGAACTAGCGATCTTATGTGCTAACTCGATGATCTCAGCCACCAATTCTAGGATTTTATCAGATCATACATATGCTATTGGCGTGTAAAAGGATATGATCCTGTTATACAACTCAGCTTTTAACAACCTTGCATGTAACTATTCACATAAAGTGATATTCAAAATCATAAGGTGGGGGTCTTATTTGAAAGTGCACTGATAATCTTGGTGAAAATCAATGCATAATCCAGATAAAATACTCCACTTAAAAATCTTATGTGCATGCATCAACTTGGAAAGAATTTTTATCAATCTTAAGGAAAACATAAAAAATGAATGTCATAACCGGGTCTCTTAGCTTTCACTGATATTTTGAATCATTTCAATCGAACTTTGTATGAGTGAAATACTCCGTTTATGAGTGAAAACATAAAAAATGAATTTTGAATCATTTCAATTAAGTTAAAATTTATGAGTTTTATTTGGTCCAAATTAATTTTGAGTCATGCATTGCACCTTCAGCTCGACTACAGATTTCCATTTAAGTGTACCAAAGCCAAGGTCTACACTAGAGGTGGACATGGGCCAGGCTACCTGTCCAAGCCCGAGACCTGACCATTGTTTGGAAGGGATTGGACAAAAACCAAAGCCTGGTGTGTAGGCCTATGACAAAATGAAATGCTCATTTAATAAATGGGTAGGGTTTTATTAATTTATATTCTTTCAGTGTACATGATTGTCACAGTCTTGTATTGAAGATGATTGTCAAATTTCTACTCTTTCAAGGCACATGAATGTCAAATTTCACCACTTTCAAGGCACATGATTGTCAAATTTCTACTCTTTCAATGCACGTGATTGTCATATTTACAAAGACATTTACAAAGCCCGGATCAAATATAAATTTTAGAAAGATATTGCATATATGTGCAATGCATTTGATAAAGAGATATTGAAGGCCCAATAAGAAATGCCTAGCCAACTACTTTGTAATATTTAGGACTAATCAAGGCAATAAGGCCCCACCCTCCCATAAACTCTATTTTGTATTGAACATTTATAACTTTTTAAAAATTGGAGTAAATAGATTCTCCTTACTCTTTTTTTTAGATTTTGTATAATTGTTACCATAAGCTGGACGGGCTTAGGTTTGGCCTTGGTCATCATATTTATTTATGTATTGTGAATTCTGACTAAATATTTGGCCCATTTTATCAAGTTGGTCAGCTTGGATAGAGCAATTTGTAGTAATTACAGAGTTAAAGACCAATATGAACCCACTTAGGCATGACCCATGTCTAGCTTTAGTCCATGGTCATCCCGTATATTACGAATGATTTTTTCATCAGTCTAGTCGCCATTCTGTCTCAATACTGACTATAATACCCTTTTTATGTTATCAGTCCAGGCGCCCAATTAAAGGCCTTCTACCATTTGAGAAAGTTGACAGAGCAATACAAGGATAGTAAGTAGGACCTAAAACCACAGTATTTATTGACTTGAAAAAGAAATATGATAGAGTTCTTGTGGAGGTGCTTGAGTACAACGAAGTGCCAGAGTATTGTATTATAGTGATTCAAGACTAATTAACAGGAAGTTGTCTATATAAGAGTAAACTAAACATTCCTAGAAACAAAGGTGTGAAAAATGTGCCTGAAGCACGATGCGCGCGACCAAGTGCATCAGGCGATGTAATGCAGGTGCCGTGCCGGATGCGCGCGCATTTTCGTGCATCAGTGCATAATGAAACAAAGCTAGCTAGTTACATGATGAAGATTCACTAAAATAGCATTTGATGAATCTAATTGAGTTTGAAGATTTCATATGTTACTATGTGTCATGTACTCAACTACTCATGTTACTAGATTCAAGAATAATTAACAGGAACAAGTCTAGAAAAGTAGAAAACTTTTTTGCACTAATTCTAACATAACACAAAATAAATTAAAAATATCATTCATTATATTTAATTAATGTCCTTTGAATCCTTAATCACCAATCAAAACAAAGGTAGTTACCTGATGAAGCTTTACTAAAACCACATTTGATGAATATAATTGAGTTTGAAGATTAAATATGTTACTAGATGTCATGTACTGATGTCTCCTATTTGCTATATTTGATCTACTTGTTATTTGTTACTTTTTTTAAGTCAATGGTCTTTCAGAAACAATGGATCTACCTACATGAGGCAGGGTTAAGGTCTTCGTACACTTTACTCTCTTAGATTCCACTTCTAGGATTTCACTAGGTATGTTGTCGTTGTTCGTCTAATTTTTTCAAAGATTATCAATTTCATCTCGCACATCATCTTCATTTACCATCATTTCATCTCATCTTTCATCTGGCATTTTATCTAGTTTTTTATCTAGTTCATTTTACTTGAAGACTTGTTATTACCTGTTCCTTGAGGAGTTTGACTAATATTGGCAGCATTAGCGTTTGGAGGATTAGCCAAAGGGTTTGATGATTTTGTCTCCATCGACAACATCTTTAATGATATCTTCCTTAGATAATCTGCCTGCAATAGAAAATCAGTTCATGGGTTAAAGTCATGTGCAATGTATAGATATTCTCCGTATTAGTAGTACATACATATCCAAACAGTTAAGTGAATAGTTGAAGTACATCAAGGTTTTAAGCCTATAAAAATTGAATAACAAGCATTATGCATACCTGGTTTATGGCAGCAGCATAAATTTTTTCCTCAAATCTCACTGCAATTTTCTTAAGTTCCTGCAGTCCCTCTTGTCCAGAAAATGGGAGGTGCTTCTTTAAAGTATCCATTCTATACCATCATATTTCACACATCAATTATGAGAAGAGTGGATAAGGATATCATC